AGAAAGATTCTAAATAGTCATAATATTTGAATAAAAGGACACTTTTCTGCTCAATTTTTCTGGTCAGAGTTGTACAGAAAGCTTTATGATTTTTAAAATTGTTAATTAACAGTTATATAAGCAGATGCAACTTTATTTTATTTTATTCCTACCCTTACAATTTTACCACTGCCAGAAAGCCTGTAGACAAATTTATAATATTTAAATGAAAATTTAAAAATTATACAAATTCTAGCAATATGTAAATTGTTTCCTTTTTATCATTTAGGAAAAAAAAAGAAAAGAAAAGAAACTCTAGAATTGCATATGCTTTAAATAATTTACTAGTCAGTATTAATGTAGTAGTAGACTGACATATAGAGGAAAACTTTTTTGGACTGTGAAGCTGTTTCCAGTTTGGGCTAGGGGGTCCATTGTATAGTAGTCTTTATTTCAACAACACCAACAAAAACATTTGTAACAGTGAAATGACAGTGCTACAGTGAATTCAAAAGTCATAGTTTATATGCTTGTATATTTTGTTTATATGTAAAACGTTTTGGTCTGTTCTGCTTGCCTGCTCAAATAATGTAAGTAATGTTAATTTTAAAACTCATTTACTGAGTTCACATTATTGAAAAGATACATTAATTGTTCTTATGTTACTTTAAAAGGAAAGTCTTTTTCCTTGCTTATGAAACTATTTAACTGACACATTCTCCAAAGAAAGTATCTATAAAGGCAAAATAAATGTCCAGCAAAGTTTGTGACTATTTGGCAGGTTTGCCCGTGAAATTGTTCTTGCTCCAATCCTACCCCAATCTGTAGCAAGTCATAAGCATGGTAGATTAACAGCAAGGACTTTGGTGCCAGACTGCATGGTTTCGGAACCTGATTTCACAATTTAGTAGTTGTGTGACCTTGGGCAAGTTACTTGTTGGCTCTGTGTCTCATTTCTTCTTCTTTTTCTTTTTGTATTTTTTTTTTTTTTGAGACAGAGTCCTGCTCTGTTGCCCAGGCTAGAGTGCAGTCATGTGATCTACGCTCATTGCAACCTCTGCTTCCCAAGTTCAAGCAACTTTCCTGTGTCAAGCTCCTGAGTAGCTAGGGCTACAGGTGTATACCACCAAGCCCAGCTAATTTTTTAATATTTTTAGTAGAGACAGGGTTTCACCATATTGGCCAGGCTGATCTCAAACTCCTGACCTCAGGTGATCCACCTGCCTTGGCCTCCCAAAGTGCTGGGATTACAGGTGTGAGCCACTGTGCCCAGCCTCTCATTTCATCATTTGTAAAATAGGTGTAATAACAGCATCCATTTACAGGTCTGTGGGAAGTTATTAACATAAATATATGACATTTAGAATAGTACCTGGCACACAATTGCTAAGTAGGTGTTAGTGTCACTTGAAATCTTTGACCTTCTATCCTAATTCAATTTCTCCTCTTGTCTGTTGAATTTGGCAGTGTTTATTTGGTTCACCTGGTGCTTGAACCTTAGGTTTCCCAGAAAAACTTCCCCTTGGCTGTGTGAACATTCCCTGTGCCTGGGGTGTTTTTCCCCCGTGTTCCTTCAGATTCTGTCTTCACAGAGTTAACATCTTTTGTCCTTTAGCTCTCACCTCGCACATCCCTGCTTAAAGCATGGGGTGCTAAATCTAGCATGAGTGGACCAGGGAAGGCTTGTTCCAATCAGGCTAGATTTAGCACCCCATGCTTTAAGCATTCTTATATCACTTTAACTTTTCTTCATAGCACTTAACAAAGTTTGTAGCTATAGTTATGTGACTATTTAAATATGTATACTCCATTGAAATATAAGCTCCTTGAAGGCAGGGTAAAAATCCATTTTGTTCATCATTATATCCCAATCATGATAGATTTGGCATAGAGTATTTGTACAAGAAAAACTTGTTTAATAAATGATAAATCAATTTCAAAGATGAGAAATCTGAAGTTCAACACAAGTCAACAGGACTATACCACTAGACATGACAGAACCAAAGTAGAATTCACACTTGACTCAAAGTCCTTCATTGCTTCCAGGTATTACATCTTGGATTATACAAATCAAACAAAGAACTCTGCAGTTAGTATTGTGGAGCTTCTAGAATGATGAGTGTATAAATCAGAAAGACTAGAACTATTTAAGGTATTCTGTAAGAACTGAGTCTCCCTGGGAAACTGATTTTTAAGACATGAAGTAGGAGTTAGAATGGGAACGGGGAGATAGGCAGAGGCTTCTAGGTAGAAAGAACCATTTACACGCAGTAGTCCAAGGATGAGAAAAGCTTGGTGAATGAGGACAGAGAAAAGGCCACTGTGAATGGAACAGAAAGAGTAGGAAGTGGGAAGTTGACATTGATCAGAGGGGCAGGATCAGATCATGCAAGAGCTCATGTTAGTAGCAGAAGGGAAAGCCACTGAAGCATTTCAAGTGGGGGATGACACAGTCAGCTTTGCATTTTCATAAGATGATACTGACTGCACTATGAGGGATTTGAGAGACAGAAAACTTAGTAACTGGTTGGAGATGGAAGTCAAGATAGAAGGACATAAAAAGGGAATGCTCACGTGTCTGATACTGATATCATCAACTGGAAGGATTGTGGCGCCATTTACTGAGAAAGAGCCATTAGTAGATACAGCAAGACTATTAATTTTGTTAAGTATACAATATGCTCTCAATAAATACTGACAATTGTTATTGTCTTTGTGGTTGCTATTATTACTCATTATTCCATACCACTCTCTGTGACTGGGAGTTACGGTGATTTTTATAGATTTCATGGATTTTGGCCTGATGTGTTGCTCCCACTACGTACCCAAGCATATCTGGATTTGGTGACTGGAAAAGGAAGTCCCCCAAGGGACCAAGAGTAGGTAGCCTTAGGATAATGTGAGGAGAACATGAGAAAACAGACTTCCTATTTTTTGAATTTCCTTCTCTTTTTCCCCCAAATCAAGAAATTTTAGATACAATAGTATGACCATGACCAACAGATTTATTAAAGCAAACAGTTACATATGAGGCATCAATACTGTATGGGGAGATCAAATAAAATTAGCCTTAATTTGCCTTTTAGGGTAAATAATGGAGCATAGATAGGTCAAAGGGCTTTCCTATAAACTAAGTAAGCAAAGAAATCAAAAAGTATGCTTAGATCTTTGACCTTGTTTTTTTTTAAATTTAGATTTTATGTATGTATCTTTGCCTCATGTAAAATTTGTCATATTCATTTAGATTGTTTACATGTAGAGAAAAAAAGAATACCTATTATGATGGTTAGTTGGCACTATTGATTATGTAGCCCATTTTAATTCAGGTGCCACCTGTGCAAGCATATCAGGAGACTGCTAAGCCTTCACACTGTGTGACTGGCTTATGTCCACCGCCTTTGTTCCCTAGAGATGCATACTTACATCTAGTAAACCAAAGTTCATGCATCAGGATTAGCCACATGGTGTTAATGAGAATCCCCACTATCATTATCCTGTTTATCCTGTTAAAGAAGTCCTAGAGCATATGAGGTAGATGGCAAATGTGTTACATAGACTAAAAGGCAAAGTCCGTTTCTGAAGTCTTGAACCCTGAGCTGAGAAACTTTATAGTACTGAATCTAAGTGCTAACTGGGCATTTTCTAACAAGGCATCTATAAAACAAGTCAAGAAAGAGGCAATGAAAGGAAGTCAAATGTAAGAAAAGTCCAGATTGTTTTGGTCACATGAGGTCCTGCTTACAATGGAAAAGCCACAGTGATTCCTGCTTAATCACACATATATATTTGACAACATTTAAGATTAATCATCATCAGGGACCATCATACAAACACATATAGATTGCTATACAGCAAGGGGTTTTAAAGAAGTAGAAAAGATGAATATTTTAACTGACCTTCTAGACAAGTTTGACACGTATTTTATTTACACTAGATTATAGAGGTCCTTGAAGTATTTTAATGCATTTTAATGTATAACTTGTTCTATTAAACTAGGAACAGCACCTAATAATATATATTTTCATTCTTTTTTATTTATATACACACATATACCTAGTTTAAAAGTGAACGTCTTTTTTGCTGCCTTGAGTAATTTGTCACATTTTCTAAGCTGGTATAATTCAACAAGGTGTAAATCACCCCTGCCTTGAGCATTCAATATAACAAAATAAGCTAGTGCTGAATCATTTGAACATTTGCATCTATTCCTCATTATATTAACCGGCTCTTGTTCATATTCAGAGTTTTAGCTTTTTGACACTTGTTAAGGATAAGCCATTTTGATTACTATCCAGAAATTCTGAAGAAGAGAATTTTCCCCCTCACATCATTAGTGGTTAGAAGCATGGGTTTGAAAATCAGACTGTTAAAAAAAATCTCTACCATTTTTCAGCTGAGTAATCTTTTAACTTTTCTGTGCCTTAGCTTTCTACATAAAACTCACATGCTTATTGTCAAAAAGATAAAGTAGAACCTACCTCAAGGACTTGTGTTAAGTGCTGTATTACAGGTAAAAAACATTGATCTGTGCCTGGCACATAGTAAGTGTCTAAAAAATGTTGGTTATCATCATTACCATTTTTATCCTTCTAAAATACAATCATTGACTTTGTTCTTGGGGACTAGGAAAAAGAGTCTACAAAAGAATAGTCTAGAATATTCAAACATTTTCCTTTGTATTCCTAGCCATCTGCTTTATCAGAAGCATCAATCTTTTTCCCATTTAAAATATTTTTCATATTCCAATGGTTCTCAAGCTTTTCTTTTACATAGGCACCTGTATAATAGAGATAATCCATGAACTTTCACGATACAATCTACAATTTTAGAATCTTTTGATTAAGCACATATGAACAGAGGGATTTAAGGAACCCTTGTAATAACTACAGAGCCCCTCCTGGGTCTGAGGTTGACTTGGTTAGGAACCATGGTTTTAATCAATAATTAATATTTAGACTGAAGTGTAATTTTAGTTTATTTTAAAAAACCCAGTGGGTCATAGCTCTTTTAGCCTCTCTTACCTCACCCATGACTGCTATAGGAGTCTCTCCTGTTGCCTGAGCAACACGATGTTCTACTAAGTAAAACATATATTCATCGTAGAGTAGACGAATCAGGTGGAAGGAGCCAAAGCTAGCAGCACTGCGTAAGGTTAAGTCCCGAATAACCATTGAGCTGTTCCAAGAGAAAAGACATACATGCAGCTAATATTAGTGACAAGAATTAGCATTCAACCTATCTTTCCTCTTTAAAAATGTCAAGCTGGGAGCCTATATGGTTGGTATAGCATAAAACCTGCCATGAAATAATTTCACTATTGAAAGCAGTTGGCTCAACTCATTTAAATAGAGTGATAAAGAGGTAATTCTCACTGAGACTTGATCCCTTTTAGAGACAGATAGGTCTTAGTGGAAAAAGTCATTTTACTATCATAGGCAAGTCTGCTCCATCTATCAAACTCACAAATTAATCAGAATTGAACAAAAATATTTCTGAATGGTTGACCACTCATCAACACCCTAAGAAAAAGCTACTCGAAGTAAAAATCTTATTGATGAGGGTTGGCAGTCTGTTCTCTCTCAATGATAATGACCTTGGGGGTATGCATTAAGAAAAATATGTATTTCTGCCAGACAAAACTTACAAAATATACTAAGCAGTGTTCTCAGATGTGGCAATATAGAACATAGGCAAGCATGTACAGGGATTCCAGCAATGTTTTTGGAAGGCAAATGTATTAAGTGCTTCCAGTTTCTTAACAATTTCCATTTAAATTAAGGCACATTTCCATTAAAAATAAGCATAATAAGATCAATTAAGAAATGTCTATCTTTGAAAAGGCAAACATTTAATGTATATACCAAAATATAAGCAATAATATTAATAAAATACCAATAATAAACTCTACTGTATTTAAAACGGAAATGAGTCCAAAATAAAATCTTGGCTTCAAAATGCCAATCATTAAGCTTGTTCATGTACTTTAAAACTTAAAATATTCCTAATTTAGAATCAGAGTGAAGTGTGTTGAGTGTGTGTATGTGTAGGTTTCTTATCACTTTCATTTACTGGCCTTTTCCAAAAGATTTTTGGCTTAGGAACAACCATTCTTTCTCAGGAGGAAGTGATAAAATCTCACCTATGCCTCGTTTTGCAGTAAAGAATTATAAAACATCAGGCAAATGGAAAAACAAAAGACTGTACTTTTGTTTTCTGTTTCATTTTTCAACCCTGTTTAAATAGAGACTACTAATACATCAAATTGTATGCATTCAACTTGGCAAGTGACAGATCATCCCTGTCCACCTGAAACACAGAAGCCTTGGATTCTGTCTCTTCATTAACTGTTGACCTTAAAAAGATCATTTCCCTGAGATGTTTTTCCTCTTGCATGAAAACAAAACCCTACTTTTAGTCTTGGCTAACTAACATGCTTATTTAAAGGATAAAATAAGTTAAAGGATATGAAATCAACTTATGAATGAATATAATGCTATTCAAATGTATGTGATCATGGTTATAATACACAGAATAGGAGAAGCTTTCGTCATCCTCATTTATTTATGGGTAGCAAGAATAGCAATTATTATATGATGATGGCAGAGAACTTCTCATTTTTGCAGATCTATTTACTAAAATAATGATGATGATGATGATGATGATGATGATGATGATAATAATGATAAGCACAGGTTTGTAGTTACACAGACCCAGGTTACCACAATGTGATTTCAATTGTGATCACATAATTTTTTGTAAGGTTCAAAGTTTAGCCTAAGAGTCAACTGACATAACGTATGTGAAATCATAAGAAAACTATCCATGTAATGTATACTGTTATATCCATTAGTGTTAATAATATATTCATTATTATAAATAGTTAGGTCTAGTGAATGATGTCTTAGAACTGATTACCTTAATGAATTCCTGAAGTTTACAACTCTATAAATAATTATTAAAAATAAATGAATACTTTCCTTTGCATGCCAAAATATACGACAACATTCTATATGTAATTCTATCCATGACTTTTCCTAAAATTCAGTGACATATTACCAATTTGTAAAAATAATGTATAAGATTATAATAGCTATGTGAAAATAAATATTTCTATTCCTATGGAAAAAAAAAATTGAAGCAGTAAATCACTTGCTAAAAGAAAAAAAAGCAAAAGCCACACAAAAATAAAATGTTACATAACATTTTTATCAATACTAACAATGACATGAAATAAATTATTTTTAAAGAAAAACATGAATAGAATATTTACTCCTAATTGCATTTATCTTGCTGAAGAAAGCTAGCAAATATTTAAAATTTTCAAATTTTAAAAATGTAAAGTATAAGACAAATGGCTAAAAAACATACAAAAACATGACTAATCTTATTTAGAATTAAAAAAATGAAAATTAAAGCAAGATACCACATACAATCCATAAAACCGTCAGAAGTTAAAAGACTCAATGTTACAGTTGGTTTGGAAAACTCTCCTTTACTGTATCTAAACGTTTTGTTGAGGGAAATTTGGCAGTATGTGTCAGAATTTAAAATGTCAAAACTTTTGATCCAGCAATCTAATTCTAGAAATTTACACAAATGACCAAAGAGATTTAAAACTGCGGCGCAATATTTGTACTAGTTAGGAACTAGGAGAAAAAGGTAAATATCCTTAAAAAGATTCTCTAGTAGGATGCTGATTAAATAGATTATGGTTCATTTAGATAAATAATTTCATGCAATTATTATAAAAATGAAGTAGAAATATAAGTAGTAACATAGAAAGGTGTTTATAATATAATGGTTTAACTGAAGCAAGATATATGAGCTCATTTACATAAAAACTCTCCATATGTTAAAAATTCCTACTCCTAAATAAATTGGATATCTAATACTTTATTAACACTGAGATCACACACTTCATTAAACTAGTATTAGTCACTTTAAACATTTATATCCTTTTACTTGAACTTATCCAAAGATATATGTATAATTATATATGAAGACAATCGTAACAGTATTTTTAAAAACTGTTATCAAAACACCAAAACCCAACTTAATGTTCAAGAAAAAGGGAATGTTTAAATAATGTATGAGGCATAAACATAAAATGATACGAGGACAACAAACATATATGTTTCTGAAGATATTTAATGGCAAGAAATGCTCAAGATAACGATGGTAAACAAAAAATGTTGAGAAAATTATAGGTAAATAGTCTACGGTAAATGACTGGATCCCAATTTTATTTAACACAAAAAGAAAACATTTAACCAGTGGTAATTTCTGGGTAGAAGTTTTTTGTATATCCTAGGTTATCTTTTTAAAAAATTAATTAATTAATTTTTTTAGAGATGGGGGTCTTGCTAGCCCAGGCTGGGGTGCAGTGATGCCATTATACTTCACTGCACCCTTGAACTCCTGGGTTCCAATGATCTTACCCTCTTCCCCTCCCATAGGCACTTGCTACCATGCCCAACTAATTATTTTGTTAGAGATGGGGTCTCACTATGCTGCCCAGGCTGGTCTCGAACTCACTGTGTTGCCCAGGCTGAACTCAAGTGATCCTCCTGCCTCAGCCTCCCAATTAGCTGGGATTACAGGTGCAAGCCGTATTTACCAGAATTTTTAATGTGAGCACATATTAATTGTGTAATAAAAATATTTATTTTAAAATATGACATTCATTATATAATAATATAGAAAAACAATACTGAGTCAGGTGAATGTTAATAAATGTTTGCAGGAATAAATATCACAGATACAGAATGAACTTTTTATATATTTCTAAGTTCAAATTTTAGGCCTTTGTATTTCTCTTAAAATATAATAACCCTGAAATCATGTGAACAACTAAGGAGAATGTTCATAACAAGTAGTTTTCTGATATCATTTTAGAAATACAAGTTCAACTTTTTCCAAGAAAACTCACATTTATTTATTCAGCAGATATTCATTGTGTTCCTACTCTATGGCATGGTCTTGGTTCAGAGAAATCAGACAAAATTTGGTTTCAAAAAAGTTCACATTCTGTTAGGTGAGACAGTCAGTAAATATACAGGTAGATAAAAAATATAAAGTTAGGGAATAATACAGCTATAAATCAGGGCCAGAGATTGCAGAGTGATGGAGGCAGGCATTTTAAATTGGGGTATCCGAAAAATTCTTTCTGAGGAGGTGATAATCTGAACAGAAACTGGATTGAAGTAAGAAAATGAACACAGGTGAAGAATTTTCCTGGCAGAAAGGACAGCAAATAAAAGACCTTGAGGCAGAACTGTTTGCTGTGTTCAAAGAGTGGCCACGAGGCTAATGTGGTAGGAAGGCAGTGAGCAAAGAGAAGAATACATGATAGGACCTGGAGGTCCCTAGTGGCTGGACTGTGTAGGGTCTAGTAGGCCATGATAAGGCCTTTGGATTTCATTCTGAGTGTTTTGGAAACTTTTTGGATGGTTAGGCAGTCACCTTATTTCAGCATCAAGTGCACATGTAATACTAAATACTGTTGGAAGTTTTTTTTTAAATTATTAATTCTCAATTCTAATACCTAGTTATTTAAAAAACACTGACAAGTAGACAAGTATGTCATGAAATTATTGTCATATGTTTACAAAAGAAATCAGTTGAATTGTATCATTAACGCTGTATCTACTTTATTATCTCTATGTCAGGCCTCCGCTCTACATGCCAAGTATTAAATGACACAATTAACATTTAATTGGAATCCTATTGTCCGATTCAGGCTTCTGTAAGATATGCTGTAAAACTGACTCCACTGAATTGTTGCTAAGTTACCATAAATTCAACTCTTTTTAAGATCAGAGTTGTAAACGTTAATTATTTTATAATGGACAAGAAATATCTTTGTATATTTATCTTTATAACTCATGGTGTGGAAATCAAAACACACACCCTAACACAGGATAGTCAACCTGCCTCTTCTGAGTGTTTGAAGATGCATCACACCCTTCAGGTGACAACATCACATCTGTGATCCTTATGTGAACTCTCTTTGAAAAGTGCTTACAGTTGATTCAAAAAGAGTATTACTTTTTGGAAGATTCATATATTGTCCAGTTGTAGGCAAAGTAGGCAACCTGTGCCTACTTTTAAGCCACAGTATCAAAGCTATACATTTCATTCTTTAAAAATGGGATATCTGAATCACCTTCAGGGTGGCCCTGAAGAATGCTCTCTTCTGTTATTCACAAAACACACAAGCTGAGAAATGGCCCACATAACATCTCCATTTCTACCCAAGAAAGACAGTGATTTTCTTCCCGGCTTCCCAGGGAACCACCATTAGTCGCTTAAAGCCAGGTTAGGCAAAGAGAGCCTCCATTCAGAGCAGAGCCTGTTTGTAGTGCTATATCAACTGCTACTATCGTGATTCCCTGCAAGTTCATTTCTGTATTTCTATGCATGTAAACATATACAAAGAATTTTAGAAATTAGAAGATTAAGCATCTGATTTCAGAACATGAAGTGTCTGTATACGTGATTACCAAATTTATAATGGCATTTACAAATTTACAAATTTTTGGCATCTGTAATGCCAAAAACACTTTAAAATATTCTAAGTCTGCTTCTCTGATAGTTTGTGAATGCAATTTTTATTACTCTATATGTTCTTATGTCTCAGAAAAAAACAGTTCAGATATTAAAGGTTCAACTTTCTAAGCTATTATTGATTTTGCGTACCAACAGGAGGTATGCATCTGTCTGAATGTGCCTTTCCTTCTGGGGCCCTGAACTGTACACCTTTGAGTCTTTTTGAAATGAAAATAATAACCATAATAGTGTCTAATAATAACAAGCCAATTATCCCCAACGCAGGGAGGACAGATGGCGGGTAAGTGATGATCTACTGGGTATGTATATCTGCAGATAACTGAAATACAAGTAAGTAATTTTCTCTCTTTGCAAGATACCTGTAACAGATCTCTGTGGAGATGAAGGCTCTAGGGATGTACTTCTAAAACAATATCAACTAAATATAGAAGAAAAAAAAAACCCAACAACCACAGTAAAAGTAAGGGCAAGTCTGACACTAACAACGTAAGAACGCGGTAGGAAGAAAAAAACCACCTTGCTTTTTTGGATGTAGAGGATGGACTGTGCCTTTGGTGCTGTAAATTTTGCAACAGCCAGTCAGTGTACTGCTGTTTCATCAATCATCATGGAGCATATATACCATTTATGTTATTTTCTGAGAAAAACAATAAATAAAAAAAACTCTCGGGCAACTGGGAAAATATCTGAAATCCTAAAAACTGTTCCCGAATTAAAATTTCTAATTCTACCAATACTACAACTGTTGCTGCATCTACTTTGAGAACACTGTGATAACGCATTTCAAATCCTCCCAGGAAAACTTAATTTCTCGTCAACACATTTCTCATTAACACCCAGATCTAAATCTAGCACTGGCTTCACTGATGCATACCACTGGGTCACAGAGCCAGACAACACCTTAATAATGTGCTCCAAGAATTATGTGGGCTAAAGATATTAAATATATGAGAGGTAGAACTGTGGAATTGTACAACTACAAAAACCAAAACCAAACAACAGCAAAAAACTGGCTGGCTTTCTTTCATCACATTTGACCCTTAGGTAGACACTAGACAGCAATTTTCAGGATGTTAGGACAACGTTAACTCTTAATGAAACAGGTAATGTAGATCTGTATGTTTACTTCAGTTTAAGAAATGCGAATTTGGAACAAATCAATGGAGAAAGAAAAAAGTCACTTAAAATAAAACCAAAGGAACTACCACCAAAATTAAAAGACCTCTGATTCCATCGTTATAACCAATGGTGGTAACAATATGTTATATAGTCTGGGTTCACTGAGTTTACAAGTACTATAAGGTTTCTAAATTGTGTTATTCATAGTCTCTCCTTCCTCACAACTAGCTTTGGACTCACCACTGATGTCCAGATGATGACTATCATGTAGCTACAGATACAGTCGGGTGAATGTCCTGTGGCCAGCACTTTTTGGTATGTTCATGGCTGCACAGAATCTACACTAGATACTGCCTATACTTTATAGCAGATATTAATCTTAGGGCCAAATCAGTGTGGCAGTTTTATCTAAAGAAGCTCAAAACTGAACTCTCACCACAAGAACCAATGCCAGAGTTAAAAATATAATTTACCCAACTTATGAAAGAGAATTCCACCTGCCAGTTCCATCCCACATATATGGTAGAAACACTGACCTACAAAGGTCATAAATGCTGGTTTTAATCTTTGTGGCAGTTACGGTCAACAGTTCATTACAGCATTTGATGTATGTCATGTAATCAGAAAGCTCTTTTCTTCTGGGTGCTTCTATGTCTACAAAAATACATGTTTCTATCTATACTATTATAGTCAAAAAGTGATTTATATTATTAAAAAGCTGTGTTACTAATAGATTATTGGCTATCATTAGAATCACCAGGAGAGCTTTCTGAAAAAATTCCTGATCACCTCCATTTCTAATTGCTATCTCTTAACCACCAAGATTTTGGTTTAGTAGGTCTTGGGAGGCACCTAGGATTTTTTCCTTTTTTTACATTAATTCTGATGTGCAGCCAGGTTTGAAAACAGTTACAACTGATAAAATTAAGAAGCTAAATAGATAGTTTGGGGCATGCATCAGAATCAACTGAAGTACTTTTAAAAATATGACTTGTTGGGCCTTACCTCTACAGGTTCTGATAAGGTAGATTTGGAGGAGGTGCTAAGAATTTGCATTTCTAACATGTTTCCAATTGATAATGATGCTACTGGTTTAGGGACCACATTCTGAATATCACTAAACTAGAGAACAAAAAGGAGACTAGTGTTAGGCCTCAAGAAAGTAGCCTAAATAATGTATGTTGCAGGAGGGAGGACAGTAGCCCTTTTCTGATTACTGCTGAACACATGATCTAGACTGGAATCTCAGATGTTCCCATCTGAGAACACCTAGGGCTTTGAGCAGGGATTTCTTTTCCTAGAAGAAAATTTGTTTCCTTAAGTTTCTTGGTACACTTCTATGATGTTGTAATCACTGAGTTGGGTTGAAGGTAGTTATAACAGGGAGTTTCCACCTGCTAAAGTCCTTACTCATTTCTTTTCTTTTGTCAGAGAAGCATACACATACACATGCACATATTTGCAGAATATGAAAAAGAAAGCTTAGGAAAAACCTAGATGATACCTGTAGAAAGACCATTTTAGCAGAAATTGCCTGGCGGCTTTAGGAAAACTGGGTCTTCCTTCATAGGGTTTTAGTGCTTGCATCATCACATTGTCAAGCCATGCAGCCCACTGCTCCAGGGTGCTCTGCTGCTGAAGAGTCATCTTGAAGTCTGTTTCTAGTCTCTGAACCATGTTGTCATCACACTGGCATACCCAGGAAGCCTGCTCCTGAGACAGTAACATGGAAAGCAAAGGAAAAGTTCAACTCAGCATCCTTTAATTGAATGTCAGCACACACAACAGATGCAAGAACAGAAAATTATAATAAAAGCTTCAAACAGTTAAATGAATTCAGAAAATAAACAACAACTTGTCAATTATTAAGGTAACACAATCTATCAATTTTAAGGGATGAATATATTTCCTTGCTCACTCTGGTACATAAAAAAGTGATGTCACATATAAGTATGACTTGGTTTTTCTACATTAACTAGGCTGTGTAAAAGACTAAAATACATGATTACTTCAAAAAACAGAAGTCTGAACCTACAGTAGGCAGGGTTTTTCACTCTATTCAGCTTTCAAAAGTTATCTTTTTGTTCCCCACCAGATAAAACTTTAAAACCAATTCATTTAAGAAGATTTAGGGTAAGTCAGACAGACAAATAGAAATGGCCAAAAGTGGTCCCCTCAAGATTAAAACAGAAATAAACACTGAATGGTACTAGGTAGAAGCATATGCTGTTAAGAGTTTTATGGATTCGGAACAGAAATCTCAAGGGCTATCAAGGCAAGGCTATGAATGCAAATTAATTCAGAGAACTGAAAACAACAATAACAACAACAACAACAAAAACCCTCTGGAGAAAATGTAGATATGCTTCCTGCCAAAAAATGTGCTTATTGCAATTTTCCTTCTGGTTCTGGGTGGGAAATTTCATGTTTGGTAACAGCAATGAAAATAGGAACTTTTAAGGCTACTTTTCAGTGGTTGCCGTAAGCTTTGTAATGTTTCTAGTGCTATGCTGTATTGTGAGATTTAAAAAAGCCTATTCACTCAAGGAAAAACATAATTCTTTGGTAATGTAATATTTAACTAGGAATGAGAAGACACAGACTTTAGGTCTTTAATTAATGATACTGACCTCAACCAATTAATTTATGTGGGCCTCAGTTTCCCTAAGCATAAAATTAGAGAAATAAAATTTAATGAAAAATTTTAAGCTAGGTTAATTGTGTCCAGATAATTTTGTCAAGATAGATGTCTTTGGAGAAGTATCTTTGAGGCTCATATATATGTGTGTGTATATATATATATATATATATATATATATATATATATACACACATATACACACACATATATATACACATATATATATATACAGACACACATATATATATACACATACATATATATATGAATTTTTCTTGAGTGTATATAGCTTTTTTCTATATGCTCTCAAATAATAAGTTCATTCAAGTTGACAATTTCAACTGAATAAATTCATTATCTCCATCCTCTAGTTCCAGTATCTCTCCTGATCCTACAGACTTTATCTATTTGAGGGAATTTAAACCTAGAGGCACTTCAAATGCAAAATGCCCCAAATTCAACTTATTTTATTTTCCCAGGGAAGCATACTGTTTCTTCTACATCGCAGCTGATGATACTATTCACTTCCTTTTTTTCTCTTATCTAATTAGTCATAAATCCTTTCAGATGTTACCTTCTAAATATCACCTTTAAATATTTTAAGTATACTGAAATATAATTATAAAAAACGTAAATATGAATAAGCAAAAAGGAACAATGACAACAGTAAGCGATTATAACATGTTGATGTATGTACCTTCATTTTCCACATGCATACATAAATATATCTATGCATATATTATCATATATATGCATTATTTATGCATACATTAATATTTTAAATTTATATTTGTATTATAAAACACATTCAAATATTTATACATGTTTTATACTCTTATATGCTTATACATACTTAAGTGTTTAAAATAAGAGGATCATATTATATTTTCTATTAGCTATTCTGCTTAGTTTCACTTAGTAATATATAATAACTATCTTTCCATGTAGGCAAATTAGACCTATATTTATTGTCCACTGAATGAATTTGTTTTATTGCATAATATACCATTATTTATATAACCAATCCCACATAGACATTTGTTTGTTCCAACATTTTAGTATTATAAATAAAGCTGTAATTAGTAGGATAGGTGTTTTTGTTTGTTTGCACATTGATAACTGGAAGGGGAAACTTACCACTTACCAGTATTCATGAAGGAATTTAATTTCATTTTTTACTATAAATTCAAGCTCACTATTTACTTGGCAGTTAGTTTTTGCCAAGAAAAGATAATTTAAAACCAAACTTAGAGAAATAAAACCACGGCACATTATTCTGGCTTTTCAAAGTACTTTATATTATACTTCATTTTACTACTCTCTAAAGTGAAAATATACTAACAATAGAGCACATTGTAAATATTCCCTTGTGAAACAAATATAGGTATTTCAAGTCTATAATTGAAAAAGCTAAGGACATTTACAGATTTTCTTAACTTAGAAAAATATATATCCAAAATGAAAAGTAGTCATGAGTTTCAAAATCAGAATGCCTTTTAAATATAGAAACACAAGTATGTGCAATAGCTAAGTTATCAGGTCAATTCACCCAAACCTATTTAGCCCATAATGTAGATTTCAAAGCCTACCTATTTGCATACAGAAAAATTAGAGAATGATACCATTGTAATACTATCAATTAAATGAAACAGGAAACCAAGTATCCTGCAATAGAAAAATTATCTTAAATGCATAAAGAAAAGAAAATTTAATTAGAGGAGAATAAAGTAGTGAAAAGTGATATATGGATATCCTGAAAAGAACTTTTGATACTTTCAAGCTCTTAGTGTATTATAATATTGACACATATGTAATTTCATTGTTTTAAATAGAAGTCTCCTTATTACAAGAGTGTCACTCTTATATTGTCAGATGATTGAGGTTCATGTTATAGGAGTTGGGATGACTTCCAAATGAACTGAAGATGGGGATAATGGTGAAATGGGAGGCAAAGGACTCTGGGAAAATCTGGCAGAACTAGGAAAAGAAAAGGAAAGAAACAAGGGTGTTAAAGATGAAAATTGTTAACCTGAGAAAGAGATTACTCATTAAATGTACAGAGGTGTGAAAAGTAAAATATAGGGGGAAATGAAGGGCTCACTATTGTGTCATGGTACTCTGAAGAAAGGAAGAAGGTTTTGGAGGGCAGATGCTGAATCATACTGGTTTCAGCAACAACGAGTATCATGGTCGATCCAGAAAAACATGATGCTCAAAAATAGAGGAAAAGAAAGGGTATTCTGAAAGTTGGTGGCAGAGGGTAAGCAATCTAGTAGACATATCACTAATCATTGATATGCAAAGATTTATCAAGATTAATGCTTATAACAAGCGAAGAACTCATTTGTAGAAATACTTCATTGAACTTCAGATACTCAAATACTTATGTGTATCTATACATATAATAATGCTAACAGAACACTGAAAACCTTTCTCAGATATTATTAGAAATAATTCTTTAAAATATTTTCTGTTATTGAGCTTACATTACTTTTGAAACTAGAAGTTGCCTTACTTCTTCAACTTTTCTTAAGATACTTTTAAGATACCTTTCCTGCAAAAAGATTTGAAATAAATATTACAGTATAGATTTTAAGGCAATATAAACTTTTAATACTCTTGCTTATTCAACTAATGTAAATTATATTGAAATATATAAATGGTTTTGTAAAGCTGAGAAAGTTTGTTCTTGTAAAGAACATATTTGTATGTCTGTATGTGTTTTTGTAGATGGATAGAGATTTTTTAAAAACTTTATATAATAATTTAAAGATGGATGGATGGACGGACGGACGGACGGACGGACGGACGGACGGACGGACAGACAGATAGATAGAAGTTTGAACCCAATCCATGAAAATCATAATGAACAACTAATTTATTATACTCTACAATGGATCAAGCCCAAACATTACTTTTTGGTATATTTTAAAGGATAAAAATAGGTGAGAAGTAGTAATTAAAATATCTAGAAAATAAAATAATAATTAGTTGACTTTTAAACAATGGTATTGTTTTTTTAACAGGCTTATTAAGATGTAAGTCACATATTATACAATTCATTCATCTAAAGTATGCCATTCAAAGGCTTCTTTCAGTATATTCACACAGCTGTACATCACTCACCACAATCAATTTTAGACCTTTTCATTTTTTCTCAAAAATTAACCCCATGCCTCTTATTTGTTACCTCCTAATATTCTCAATCCCCCAGCCCTAGGCAACCACCAATCTACCTTCTGTCTGTAGAGATTTATCTATTCCTGAATTTCATATGAATGGAATCATGCAATGTGTAGTCCTTTGTACCTAGGTTCTTTCACTTTAGCATAATGTTTCCAAGATTCATCTATGTTGCAGAATGAATCAGAACTTCATTTCTTTTTATTGCCCAATAATATTCCATTGTATGGATAGATCACATCCTCACCAATGGGATATATTATTATATGTCTTTTTGCTTAGAACCATTTTAGAGTATATGAAATGGTACCTCACTGTGGTTTTGACTTGTATTTCCCTGATGGCTAATGATATTGAATATCTTTCAATGTGCTTATTGGCCATTTGTGTGTTTTCTTTGGGGAAACATCTATCTACTCAGATGTTTGTCCATATTTAATCAGGTTGTCTTTTACTACTGGGTTGTAATAGTTCTTTATATATTCTATACCCAAGTCCTTTATCAGATATATGATTTGAAAAACTCTTCTCACATTCTTGGGGTTGTCATTTCACATTCTTGATGGTCTCTTTAGAAACTCAAAAGTTTTAAATTTTGATTACGTACAGTTTATGTAGTTTTCCTTTTGTTGCTTATGCTTTTGGTGGACAATTGTATTGTTTATATATGGCAACATTTAGATTCATTACTTTAGTATCAGAAATAAAATATTGATATTGAAATTCTATAATGTTTCTAACTTAGCTTTCAAAGTGTACAAGTGGGTAACCTGATCACAAGGTTAAAAAATATTTTTTCATTGAACTATTACAGTAGCCGAACTTACTGCACATAATCCTTTTCAAGTGAATAAATATATACTAGGCAGCTATAGTAAACTCTGAAACAGAATAGGCCAGGAGCGGTGGCTCACGCCTGTAATCCTAGCACTTTGGGAGGCCGAGGTGGGTGGATCACCTGAGGGCAGGAGTTCAAGACCAGCCTGGCCATCATGGTGAAACCCCATCTTTTAAAATAAATAAATAAATAAATAAATGAAATAGAATTGTTCTTAGTTTTTAAAGGAGGGGCACTAACTTAGAAATATCTCTGTATGTCATGGTACAAATTATTAAATACATAAACAATAATCTAAGATAGGTGCTATATGGTGGGGAAAGTGAAGCCACAGTAGTTAAGTAACCTGCCCAAGCTCTCACAGCTTATAGATGAAAGGGTTTAATTTCTTGCCATCTATCTTTAATGACTGTGACCTTTATTATTCCACTAACTATTCAGCAAGTCCTGGTGATACATTATGTTGTCTTTTAGAACTGTAAATGTGAGCAGACTTTCACCACAAACATGGGAGCAGTGTAGCTGTATCTGAGTCAAGCTCCTCTCTTTCAGGACACTGTGAATATAGATGCTGCCTGCTTATAGATGAGACTTTGAAAACAAATTTTGGGGATTCTAATTGAGAACAAATTGCGTATCTTTCCCTAAGAGACATACTTCACAAGAAAACAGAGTACCTGGACATTGGCGAAGTCGACACGGTTGAGGTCATTGAGCATCTGGTTGATTTGGGAAGTGTTTTGAAGCACTGCACGAGCTGCCTGGGCCAGGTGATTGAGCGATGTGTATCTTCGCAGAGTCTGGGCAAAGGCACTTACAGCGGCAACCTGTAAAGCAATCCAATTAAGTTGGGATTCTGTTTCCTCCAGTAAAAGAAACCACTGCAGTCTTCGAATCTTTTTTCCCCTGCCAAATTTTAAATGCTTGCCCCTGACACTTATTTAAAATTCATTTGGTGAGAGAGTTTACTTGTAAATTATAGCATTTAAATCTCTAAACCAAGTATTATTTTTATTTTTAGTAGGTTGAGGTCAAGACTAAAACAAATTCCCCCATTCTTTGATGTCTGAGTGTAGCATTAATTAAACCAGCCTTAGGCCAGGCGCAGTGGCTCATGCCTGTAATCCCAGCACTTTGGGAGGCTGAGACGGGTGGATCACGAGGTCGACAGATCAAGACCATCCTGGCCAACGTGAAACCTCGTCTCTACTAAAATACAAAAATTAGCTGGATGTGGTGGTGCGCGCCTGTAGTCCCAGCTACTTGGGAGGCTAAGACAGGAGAAGTGCTTGAACCCAGGAGGCAGAGCTTGCAGTGAGCTGAGATTGCGCTACTGCACTCCGGCCTGGCACCTGGTGACAGAGCGAGACTCTGTCACAAAAAAGAAAAAATTAAACCAGCCTTGCAAGTAACTACTCATCCACAGTGAGAAATGACTTTGAGCAAGGAAGCAGGAGACATGTTGGTTTTCATTTCTTTTTAACTGCTCTTTGGATAGTCAACTACAAACTAGGCAAATTTTAAAAGTAGGGATTTACAGTTTGGTTTTTCAAATAAAAAGAGATCTGAACATTCCTACTCTTTAAATTGAATTTAAAAATGCATTACCATTCAGATGTATTCTAACTACCTTTATTTTGTAGAAACGAGTAAGTTTGAGGTAAAATTATCAGAAGCAAACAATCAGAAGAGGCGTTTTTTAGAATTAGAGTTTCTTTAAAAGGGCTATGTAGTAAACCTCTAGTTGCCTCTCAAAATCTACTTTCCATTTTTCTTCATCTTGTTCTGTGCCCAGGAAGATTGATTTGAATGGACCACATTAACCTCCCACCTTGTTTTCTGGCTTCCACCTGGGTTTGACCAATGACAGGCCCTGGCAGGAGATGGAAGAATGGGAAGAAACAGTGGTTACTACGGTACTTATTCTCTACAACCTCTGCTTGCTGCCTATTTTAGCTGCCTTCTTTTTCTAATGTTACCACAGTCCTGAGGGAAAGATTGGATCTCCTAATGCCACAGCTTTCACCTTTCACCCCTTCATTCCTAGGGGTGGTTAGGATTCCCACTATTGACAGCCCTGGGATGCTTTACTATTCCTCCTTGTTTTTCTTTTCAACTTTGTTCATACCTTTGGAGATAAACTCTTCTTAAACATTCTTAGATTATCCCTACCTTTGGATACACGATTTGTTTCCTGTTCAGATCCTGAGTATAGCAGTTACGTTCAAAGATAGCAAAGATAATGCAAAAAAATTCTAGGTAAAATCTAAGTCTCATAATCTCAAGGAAATTTGTTATGTGCACAATATAGATCTAATGATTTTAACCTTTTAAAAATATATTTAAAATCTGACATATTTACAGGGATGTATAGTATTGTACTCAATCACTATATGGGTATATAAGGTGCAAGTAGTTGAATTATCAGCTGGGAGTGGTAGAGGGTGTTCACAGGGAACAGGGTGCTGTATCTTGACAGTGAGATGTTTGAGGACTATTCGCAACTCAGAGGAAGCTCACATACCCTCACAAAAGAATCTTATTCCATTTTTGTGGTTTAAATTAATCCAGTATATACTATGTGCCAGGCTCTGGGTTAAGTGTCTTACATATCTTATTCAAGTCTCATAACTATCCTATTAGACACATATTATGATTTAAAGAAGTAGCTTGCTCAAGGTTGCAAAGAAACTCCATTAGTGATGGGAACTAACCCGGGCATTTTGATTCCAAAAACCATAGTAGTTGGAATGCTGTCTCCTGTGTCAGGGTACACTGTCTCCATTAATTGAATGTGGAGAGGAAAAAAAAGACTACATATCAGTGAAACCAGAAGAGACGGCACCCTCTACCGTAGTGAATCATCGAAGCCAACTGTGGAGGTCAGTGAGATGGCCAATGTTGCAACTGGATTGTTACCACATTCACTTTGACAATACCAAGAAGGGAAGTGCTTTAGCTGTTTGAAATATTGTTACAAATGTGTCTGAAAGAAAGTTGAAAAGGATTTCTTGATCATAATCAAAGACGATCTTCTTTTTTGCACACCTCAATGTGGTACTCTACAACAGCACTGCCAAAGAGAACTCTCTGCAGTGATGGACATGCTCTACATATATGCTGCCTAGTACGGTAGCCAGCAGCCAAAGGAGGCTACTGAGCACTCAGAATGTAGCTAATGTGACTGAGGAGCTAAATTTTTCATTTCACTTAATTTAAAATTCTAATTTAAATAGCCACATGAGGCTGGCCCTAGTGGATAGCCACACATGGCTGGCCCTACTGTGAGAGCACAGCTCTAGAGGAGCAATCTAATGTGGGCACATCAATGAAATGTTGCCTTCTGTATGTTTTGGAGAGAGTTTTATTGCAAACTTTAAGCCCAAGCAAAAGAACTGGAGGCCACTTATGTTCCCACAGAGGTTTATCAGCTAAAATAACTTCAATTTATCAACTCTGACCCCAGATTCAAGAGCAAGGGATATTGTTGGAGTCTCATAGTAAATACAGTCATTGACAAGAAGCCACAAATGTGATTTCTGGTACCAACATTTAAATAAAATTTAGAATTTGTCCAATCTTGCTATGGGGATGTGTTCACAGATAAAATGAAAGTAACATGGCTGACAGAAGATAAAGTACAGACTAAAATTTTTATCTCTAAATAATTCACATTCCTGAGATATACTGATTGTGAGTTAATTATTCACTTGATTCATAAAAGCATTCTCCAGTGCTTAAAAAAAACCCAAAACATCCTGAAAAAGCAAAAGAACATTAATTTATATGAACTTTTCTGCATAAGTACAGGAGGAAATTTTAGAAATAGAAAATTCCTTCAAATGGAAACTATTTGAATGTTCTAGGCTATTACTTCAATATTTAAAATTAAACATTTATGGTTTATATGCTTCTTATATAGTTTAGAGAATATATTATATGTATATAATATATTGTTTAGAAAGATTTTGTAAATGCACCACACTTAAGCGTCTCTAGTCTCTTTGAAAGGAACACTGTCAAACATCTCTTGTGCAAGTTCTTTATTACATGGTTACAAAATACAAATATAAAAATCAGTGTTAAAAGATGATGTATATTTTAACCTCAACATTTTATATAATACCATTTGATAGAATAGATGTAAAGTTCACAGTTCAGAATAATTTCCTCTACACAAAAGAAAAAGCAAGGACATAAAGTATACCTTGGTTTGTATCATTCTCTGTGGAATATTGTTCATGGCATTGGAAAGCCAACCTTCAAGGCTTTTTGCAAAATTTCGAATGGCTTGGGTCAAGGCACCTAAACATTAAAGAATAAAAGCAGAATGAAAAAGGTATGAAATAATATTAATCTTTACGCTAGAATAAAAGAAAACGCTTGTACACAATATCTGATAAAGCACAGAACTCATATTGACCTCATTGATGACAGTTTAACATTATTTCTAACTTTTTAAAGCATCCAAGAATTATATATTGGGCTTTTTCTTTTAAAGTGACTTTGTTCCCAGATACTTATGACACTGTTTTGGGAAAAAAAGGATACAAACATTTTTGCTTACAGCAACATATACCAGTTGTGAATATACTTATAGAATTTTCTTGCTTGAAAAAAGCATTCCTTTCATTAACAGTTTTGTGCTAAAGGCTATGTATTTTCTTAGAAATTCTTTATCTCGTTTTTTCAAGCTCTTAATCTATTTTCATTTCTTTTATTAAAAAGAAAAATAATGCAAAGCTTTCTCTCTTTATGTAACTATTTACTTAAAAATCTACGAATTGTAGTAATTCTCGAATTGTCGAAAAGGGAAAAAGTAAAATTGTTTGAATTGAAATTTTTGAATAACTATTTTCCATTTCACTTGGCAGGCAGAGATAAAAGATCAGTAGGATAAAATTGCAGTCACAGAAACCCATATTCTTAAGATATTCCTAAAATAGTTCATTCTGTATTCTTGATGTATCTGTTAAAACCTGAAATAGGTATAGGTTCCATGACAGAAGATTTTATGGTGGTCAGAAAATGATTAGAAGCATCTTCAGTTATCAGTGATGACTATGACTATTTTATTAGAAAAAATCTGCTTATTGAGATTGCTATATATTAGAGACAGAATACCTTTCTTGTTCAACAAGTAACTCAGTTAATAGTATTTTACTTCTTGTGCCTAAGGCTCCACAGTAGTGTAGAGAACAATTTTAGATATTTAGTAGATAAGTGTCTGAAGCACCCACAACACAAAATTAATCTTTGCAGCTTCTCTATAATGGGGTAGGTATCAAAATTTGCTGTCTACTATAAGAAACACAGCCCCAAGAATCTTAATGTTACTAATAGGCTTAAATTCCTTGGTTTTTCTTTCTGTGCTCAAATGAGTCTGACACGATTCTCTATTACTTCTGTTAAGAGCAGGTGTTAGAAATAATTTCACTTACTCATGTTATTTGCAAACAATATAAATTTTACTATTCCAATAATAAAGACAATTAAATGCGTTTTCAAGAGATTTGTTTTAACTATTCAAAACTAGAGAGGCAAGATTGGAATGGACTAAATTTTGGCTAGGAAAAGCACTAAAGCAGTGCAGATCCTTAACCACGAGGATCACCTACTGGAAACACTGAATTCAAAATTTCTTGAGAGTTAATCTCTTGAAACCTCCAAAGCTTCCCACTTTAGCCAAAAAAAGGAAAAAGAAAGAAAAATATTTTTCTGTTGTATCGTGCTAGAACCATGGAGGGCAGGCATGAATGAAAATGAAAAAGAGTGAAAAAAAATTTGTTCAAGGTTAATTTTGGCAATCTGCATTTTCCGTTTTTCCTACAATGTGTGTACAATTACTTAATCTGAAAAGTAACCCCCAAATCTATAAATGTTACTTTAAAAATATTTATTATGGACCTTGTTTTATCTAGATACATTTAATGCAAGGAAAATTAGATAAGCAGATATACAATTTGCATTTTAAATAATGGTGAATTTTTATTTTTTTCTGCTTAATCATATTCTGGGCCATCTTTGGTTATACTTGTAATTGTACATTTAAGTGTTGCCCATTGAGTGTTCATACAATTAATATTTTTTTCTTTTTCAGATAAATGTATTTTAGAATACAGTAGCTTCAAGCTGACTTTAAATTAGTGTGATGTGCAGACTTTTTTTTTAGCTAAAAAAAGAAATCCCATCTGGACAGAAAATGGTAGAGTGAAGTGCTAGTAGCCAGGAAAATACAATTTTTAAAAATAAAATTAAGTTTGCTCTCTCTATAGGGATTCTTGTATGTACAAAATTGTGCAGATTGACAACTTTCAAAGGCTCATGAATGGATGGTTTGGAATTTAAATTCTAAAGCTGATTTGTCTCAACCTGCTCAAGATTAATATTAAAATGCATACAAATGGAAGATAGATATCTAAATTGTATTTTAAGCTTATTTTGTTATACCTCATTGTAGAATGGGAATTAAATTTCCAAATTTCCTTGGTAGAGTGGTATATCAATCAATGCATCTTATGCTTTCAGAGAAAATATAAAACTATTCAGGTATTGGCTGAATGTAGAGACAAGCTCTTTGACAGAATAAAAAGGTTTTCAAATCAAAATTTGCAAAAGACAAAGGTCAGTGTATTGTATATTTTAAATTATGGGCTTAAATCAAAATAAAATTGATACAAGACTTAAATTAGGGAACTGTTAAGTTCACAAGTTAAAGTCTTATGCTGATGTTATAGAAGCAAAAAATTTTAGAACTGTTTAATGAATACTGATGTTGTTGATTTGTCTCAAAAAAGAAAATACTTGCTGACATCCCTTCTTTTATCTTACGAGAAAAATTTCATGTTGGTAACAAGATGTCATAGGCTAATGAGCTACCCTATGTAACTTCTTATAAACATCTCTAGAGATTATCACTCAGAGCACAGGAAGCAAGAGAAAAACAAGGAAAATCCGATTCTGGAACATACATCGGTAGAGAATTTAGCCAGTGCAATTTTCCAAAAAATCTCTTTTAATCAACCTTTAGTCAGGAAATTTGATGTAGGGTAGAATATATTAGCAATTTACAAAATTTTGAGATAATGTCAACTAGTATTTTTTTACTTATTCCTACATAAATTTATGTGTGTTCATTAATATTATATGGAAATATGTTTGAGCATATATTTTAAGGTGGTCAGGAACATATTAAAGATCTCATACCTTCTACTGTTGTCTTTTATTATTTAGAAAAAAGTGTAAGCATACAAATGTTAATATCTTCCCCTTTTGTTCCACTAATTTTTTTTCGTATTTTCTAGAATAACACAAATCATCTGTGAAGAGTATACTTTATGTACACAGTAGCCAATTTCACAAGCTACATGCTTGCTTTTACTTTATTAATGTTAACGTAGAATAGAAACTGTCTTATTTCTTAAAAAGTTAAGGTCACTAGTGTGTACTTATATAGATGTAGGCATAAAATAATTTCAGCTGCCTTTAACAGTATCTGTGGTAGCGTTTATATAGATACTTGCAGAAAATAGCTTTGTTTGCTACAAAGTAGTTTAAAAAGCACCATCACTTAAAAAGGTAATCTAACCTATCTATGTAATTCCCATTTTCTTCATAGTGGGACTACAATGCTTGTGTAGTTACAAAGATTTTTCTCTCAAAATGCCAGTTAACCATTACTGTTAATGGAAACTGCATTTGTAGTTCTTAACATGGTGTAGGTGACAAAGTAAATGCTGTTATAATGGAATTTAACTTCACTGGAAATCAAGATAGATTCACTTCAAATCAAAAGCAACCATGAAGGAGGCTGGCCTAGCAATTACAGATTTCCATAATTTTTGACTTTATGAAGGGGACTCTGTCCTTGGGTAGAATAATTTTTACATGGTTGACTGGCCTTGTAGTGTTCTTGTAATTAGTTAACTGGGCTGCTACATCTACAGGTTGGCTTTTATATACATATATATACTGAAAAATAGATAATATTTTCCCTTTTAGTACAGTTTTGCTTTAGGCTGCTTTTAAGCAATATTCTGTGCTGCATGTTTTCTATCTGGCAAATCTAAATGAAATTAGAATCATTCTAGATTGCAATGTCATTTCTCAAAACTTCCTGGGTGGAATGTATGAGAATAAAAGCATCCATACTCGTCTGCATTTAACTTACTAGGAATAGGTCTAAGGACGTCGGGGATGAGAATCTCCACCAAAGCCTGGTACATCCCATGGTCACAGTTACACATCCATTTCAGGATAGACTCATGTTTGCACAGAGTTATCAGCTTTGCTTTCGGAAGTCGACTTTCTATTTCACTCAGATTGCTGGTGTGAATAAATGTGGCAAATGAATAGATGGCAAATGAGGATAAAAAAGAAAATGGACTTTAAAAATAGTTTAAGTTTACCAAATATTACTGAGGTTAGAACTATACCACCATTGCACTGGTGCCATGCAGCTGGATATATAGATAGATAGATAGATTTATAAAACACTCCCCCAGAGCTGTCTATGCACATTCATATTTTCTGACGGTATGAAAGGCAGATATGATAGTAATTCCATGACGATGAAATAACTATACCACAGTCCCCCAAATCAATACAAATGGGAGCTATATATACACAGACTGAAACCTCAAGAGAGCAGTTCGTGGTTTATTTCCAGGATGGCCAAAACATCAATCTATTCACTTAATGTTATCAAGAAAGGTTCACAACTGGTATACATATCTCTAATTTATTAGCTGTGACATCTACTCAGCCATGATTATGAATTGGAAAAGATGTTGATTCTGACCTCGATTCAGTAATGGTAGTGCCATCAGTTGGAGTAGAGGGAGAATAGCGCCAGAATGTTTGCCACAATTTTTCTATCAGGCTAAATTGAAGATTCACAACAACATCCAATATTGCCTAAAAAACAAAATGGTATCAGTATTACCTTACAATATTACTTATGGGACTGTGTGAGGACAGCCTAACAAGACACAAGTTTTCCCACGTGCTCGTAAGTTAATATGGTGAAATGATACTAAATTTTACCAAGGGAAGTGGAAGAAACAACAATAACAACAAAAACTAGCTAGGAAGAAGATGAAAGGGGGAAAAACTCCTGGAAGATTAAGCAGGATAACATTCTTTTCAAAACGGACTCATGCCACCCTCACTTCTACCTCTTTTTTCTTCTGTTTTTATTCTTGCTTTCCTTCCTCTCTAGTTTCTTTCTTTTTCAAATTCCTTTACCTACTACTTCCTTCTGCCTCTATAGCTATCGTCACCCTACCTATTCTCAGACCTGGAAGGGTACAGAACATAGATTTGATTTACATCAGTCCTCTTTGGGCTAGGTAACCAATGACCATCGAAGAGGATGAAAGCAAAGGGTGTGGAGGTGCTTTTATGTGGCAGATGGAGTTGCAGCTGAATTAGAATTAGCTTTGTCTAAGGCAGCTGACCAGGGGTTCCAGTGTGTTCCCAGCCAAACAGAGGCTAGGACAGAAACCATGGAGTCAGCAGGCTTTCAGTGGATACCGCCTTTCTGGGCATAGCATTCAATATTAGAGAATCCAATCCTATCTCTGCACATCCTTCTTTACAGAACAGCTTTGAGACTATCGCTTTTCAAATCTTGGTGGCCTCACCTCCTCTTTCTGCCTAATTTTATCTCCTAGAACTATTTCCCAGATGCATCAAAGACATTTTTATAGCGTTTAAATCTACCACTTTCCCTTTTAACTGTCAATGATGATATTTAATTTTACCTTGCCATTGCAATTAGTTTGTAAATAAGGTAAAAGCAGTCACAAAACCAAATAATAACTTGTTTGTGCCAAGAACACATGATTTGTGATTATTTTGGGCATTAAGACAGAAGTCGTTAGTAGAATGTGATCCATGTCATCAGCACTGAGGCAAAGGTAAAGTATCCCCACAGAGATCTACGAAATTCATGGAAGATATAAGAAATCAGTGGACAATCTAAAGAGTCTATAAGAGTATTTTAGGCAAAAATAGCAAACAATAACTATATTTGTTAAGTTTGGGCTATCTGTATAAAGCTGGCCTAGGCATGATACAGAAAATAACTGATATAAAATATACTCTAAGAATATAAAATGTTGTAAGTAGTTAAATACTGAAAATGAAGATAGGGAGACAAATTAATTAACACATTACTCAGTAACAATAGAAACGCAAAATATGGTCGGGCGTGGTGGCTCACGCCTGTAATCCCAGCACTCCAGGAGGCCCAGGCAGGCGGATGACGAGGTCAAGAGATAGACCATCCTGGCCAACATGGTGAAACCTTGTCTCTACTAAAAATACAAAAATTAGCTGGGCATGGTGGCACGCGCCTGAAGTCCCAGATACTCAGGAGGCTGAGGCAGGAGAATTGCTCGAGCCTGGGAGGCAGGGGTTGCAGGCAGCCGAGATCATGCCACTGTACTCCAGCCCGGAGCCTGGAGATGGAGCGAGACTCTGTCTCCAAAAAAAAAAAAAAAAAAAAAAAGGCAAAATGCAAGCCCTGAAAATAAAGGGCGTGTAGATGTCCCTCATCCAAGCAAAAACCAAAATCTTCTCAAACAGCAAATTTTTGTAACTGCTTTCTCAATCGTAGCTTAGGCACAATCCAAGAGACATCTCTAAAAGTGTGATGCAACTATTAATATCTTACACATAATACCTTACATACTTCTTTGCATGACATTGCTGTAAGAACACTATTCTTTTAATCTACATTAAAAGAAAATGTTTCAGCAACTTGTATAAAAAGTTATACTTGTTCCTTACATAACAAAACTAGTGATACTTACAAAAATATATTTGACAAACAAATTGTGAGAATTCCAAATAATACGCAAAGTGGGTATATTAATCTTTCTTTAAAAATATATACTGTAGGAAATGTGAAATATAATTAGGCAAGTAAAGAATTTCAGTGTATCTTAAATTCAGTATCTCTTCAAATTAAATAATCTCAAATAACTCTTTTGAAAAAGACATTCGTATCAGCTTCATTTGAGGCAGTTTTACACATGAATAAAACATTTTATCATTTGTCCACCTACTTTCAAATATGTTCAGACTAAAATATATAGGCAAATATAAATTAAAATAATGCATATTCTACGGGCTTAGGGCAAATGACTATTTACAGGACTAAATATGAGATTCAGGCAGCTGTATTTCAAAAGTTTTTCATATTTATTCAAAATGAATATTTATTAACAGGAAAAAATAATTATAATTTTTCTTTTTTATATATGCTGCTGAGCTGTATGAGAAAGACAGCATGAACACTGGTTATTCTGAAATAAATGGGGATCATTCTGTGGACTGCCATTTTCCTCACAGATTATATGTCCCTATTTCTTCATATAAAGTGTATTTATTTTTGAAAATGGCATGTTAATAAAATCTTATAATCCAAAGACTATTTCAATCTTATTTGGGGGAATCTGTCACTTAGAATAATCTTACTGTACATTATGTAGCAATGTAAAAAAATTATGCTCCAACTTTTTGAATAAATATGAGAAATTTTTTAAAAATCCATCTTGGTCAGGCACGGTGGCTCATGCCTGCAATACCAGCATTTTGGGAGGCCGAGGCAGGTGGATCACCTGAAATCAGGAGTTCAAAACCAGCCTTGCTAACATGGTGAAACCCTGTCTCTGCTAAAAAAATAATAAGTTAGCAGGGCATGGCAGTATACACCCATGCCCTGCTGGGTAATCCCAGCTACTCAGGAGGCTGAGGCAGAATTAGTTGAACCCAGGACATGGAGGCTGCAGTAAGCTGAGACTGTGTTACTGCACTCTAGCCTGGGTGACAGAGTGAGACTCTGTCTAAAAAAAAATACATATAGGCTGGTTTGGTTAAAGCAAAGTTCACTTGAACACACAGGAATAAGAAATTGTTTAGAGAATCTTTATACAAATCTTTATTGAGTAAGATGACAGATATAGAAAGAAATTTTTTTCTATATACATAAGGATAATCTAGAAATTCTCTAACGTGGGTAAATGTATAGTAGTCAAAGGAGAATGAATATTAAGTGCTTTCATCATTCCAAGAAATGTTGAAGAACACATACGGCACATGCTATGTTAATAAGGAGAGAACCTGCCCTTGGTTGTTAATAATCTAGTACCCTTGACAAACACTCAGATTTACTCTAGCAATTCTTATTTCCGGAGTGGGGGAAAATATCTATCAATGCTATGAGATAAGACCTCTCACTGCACACTGCATTGTCAGCACTCAGGAGGACTGCCCAAGAAATCCAAAGGATCATCTTTTACTCCTAAGTAGATCACAAATATCCCTGGAATAAAGCTAATTGAATTCTAAATAGACTCTTTTTTCAAAAGGAGAAGCACTCAAGAAAACTCCTATTATAATCCATTATCCCATCCTCTATTTACCACGTGAGCTGTAGTACATTAATATGCTGGCATGGAGACATCTCACCTCCTAGACAATGAAGCCAACCTCTGATGTGGGCGACTCAGAATGAGAGTAGGAACAGGGTTAGAAAACACCAAAAGAAACCCTAACTAATCACAAAAGTGAAACAAACAAAACTGGAGCCTCAATGATCCATGGGAAGAACACCTAAGGTGCTTTATTAAACTTTTCCAGAACTTATTTTTAATAGAAATATGCTTATGATATAAAATTCAAAAGATAAAAAAGGTCTGTTGAAAAATGGGAGTCTCTCTCCTCTAACTCCCAGTCACCCAGTTTCCTTCACAAAGGCAACCACTGTTAACATTTTCTTGTTCTTCCTTCTGGATACACATACACACACGCACACACACACATACACATATATAAAGAAGAGGAAGATACACACACACACATATATATTTTTTTCTTCCAAAAACATTTATTGTCAGCAACAATGATAAATTAAGTGGATAATGCAACGAGACAAGTTAACTACAGGGAAGGACAGCTTAAAATTGATACATTCTGGTTTCCTTAAAAAAAACAAAAGCCCCAGTAACAACAAACTAGTTGTTAATACCTATATGTGTGTGTGTGTGTGTGTGTGTGTGTGTGTGTGTGTGTATACACACACACAATTTTTCACTTAAGCGAAAATACACATTTTTTTTTGCATTTGCTTTTTCCTTTAACTTTAAATCTCGAAGTGATCTATTTTAGTATGTTTATAGAGTTGCCTACTCTTTTTGATGGCTGTATAGTATTCTACAGCCATCTCTCTATTAGATAAAGAAATTATAACCAATCTTTTGCATTAAAAATAATAATGCAACAAATTCCCCTGTACACTTGCCTCACCACCCATATGTAAGTATTTTTGTAGGACAAATACCTAAAAGTGGAATTGCTGCATCAAATGATTCATATTAAGATAGGCTTAAAAAATAGAGAATAAAATTTATTCTCACTTTTCTGCATTCCTCATCTCTCCACTCTGAGACGGGAAAGAAGAAAAATGAATTTGTTAGTGCTAAAAGATATGCTCAAAAGAATTAGTGCTAAGTTCATCTCTCCTTTAGGAATAAGCATGATTATTTTATTTTAGCAAGTTGTCTGGCAAAACCAAGCATGTGTTCATACTACATTCGAAAAGACTTACCTCACAGTGCTCTCGATAAAGACTCTGCAGTGACTTGATATCCTCAAAGGTAGTACCATCTGGCAAAGAAGAGATTTCAACTTCTCCAAACTCTGGAAGTGCTCGAGATGCATCTGTTACCATGACAACAGAAGAGAAAAATGCTATTGTGGATGGTGCCAATTACAGATTAATGAGGAAAAATTTAAGAAGACCAAAAAGAAAAACAAATTTTAAAGGTCAGAGGTCCAGAGAGCAAGGACTTTTTATATTAATATTTTACAGGCAAAATGTAGCACCATCATCTGCACAAAACATAAAAATAAAGGGAATACTCAAGAATTTTCTAGAAACAAAATTTGCACTACAATTATACTGCAAATAGCATATTTGCAGTGTCTCTCAACACAAGGCCCCTATTAAATGAAAAATATCTCGAGCTTGCTAGTATCTATTTTAAATATTTTTATTATGTTACTTCATTACTAAAAAAACTAGCTTTAAACTCATTACGTTCGTAACTGTTACAGAGTCATAAACCAAAAGAACTACAAAATAAATAGAAACAAAACTACAAAAATAACATAAAACTTAATAACATTAATTTGATGTGATGGATCATGCTCCTGTCCTGTAACTAAGTTATCTCTTGCAAAAGGATCAGTACTGACTGCTGCAGCACAGGATCTTTTGGGTCTGGCAGGTCTATACCAACATGTGCTTTATGGTGGCTGCTTCTTCCATTACTCTTCTATGTGCAAATGAATGTGAAACTTTCCTCCACACAGAATACAGGGACATGATTTAGGCTTCCCTTGGGAGGGAGGCGTAATTTACACAGTAAGTCTCTCTCTGTTCTTTTCTTATTAGCTCTGGACAATTAATGTAAGACATTTTGGTGTCTGCCTTATCATAAATCCAGGTACAAATACGGACAATAAAATTGCAGATCAGTATTTAGTTCTAGTTTTCTAGGTAATCCACAATATGCTTAGTTTTCAAGATGATAATTAAAATGAAATCACAAAATAAAATTCTTGTTGAATGACCAAGGGTCCACAAAAATATAACCCGAGGACTTCAGTCTGAGAAATGCTGCTATGGCGTTTTCAACTTTAGTAACTATTCCAACCTGAGAGTCTATTTTAGTTGTCTTTGTCAGAAAGTGCACATAAACACATATACACACACACAGACACATACACACAGTCACTCTCTGATAGCTTCTACTTATCTTGATCTGTTATATGGAAAATATGCATGTTCATTTCTAGAGGAATTGTCAATTAAATTAAAGTGCCATTTTTGTTTTGCCCCTTTGGCTATGGCAAAAATATGCAAGTTCCTTTCCCTAACTCTTTTAATAACAAGAAACAGGTAAACCATCTATAAATCATAAAAATATAAAATGTTGTGATTAAATTAAAAACATAAATTACTTTTTAAAAGTTTACAATAATTTTTTTTTCCTAATCTGAGCCTGTGAGTATGTAACTTTACACATAGGAAATGAGAATTCCTTTTGGCACTTGAAGTTACCACTGAAAGTAAACAGCATAATTTTGACAATAAAAGCTGATCAATACAAATTCTGGAAAACAATTTCATAGCAATGAGTCTTTAATTCATATGCATAAAAGTCCTATATAGCTCAATATTCTTAAAAATAATCTCTAATAAACATGAAAGGCAAGGAGAAACTAGGACTATTATACATATGATGTGCATAACTTTGGCACCAAAAAAAAAAAAAAATCTCTCTATGTCATTGACATCTATAATAGACATTGCACTTGGAGAAAAGACTACCATTGTTCTCTTTTCAAAATCCTAGTAGCAACTAATATGCATTACACCTTAACATACCTAAAAACTGTTGATGATGTTGGCTTTGGGCAATTACAGTTTGCTCAACAGATGTGCCTGTCTGTTGACCACTTCCTGTGAAACCATCTGCAACCCCATCCACTTTCTGCATAGGCTTGTACCTAAAAATATTAGATGGAAAAAAACAAATAAACCAAATTATTCCTTGCTTTTTTGTACTACCCGAAACTCCCAAAGCATTCAATTTTATTCTGTATTCTTTAATATCTCATGATGGTTGTAGGACTTTTTATTCTTTGATAGTCTCATAAAGTTAGGATGCAGATTTTTTTTTCATCATTAAAAGAAAAAAGGGGTTGAAGGGGTGCATGAAGGGGGCCCATTTATGGAAATCCAGAAATTTAACTAAGAATGAAAGAATTATAAGGTATTTCTTTGGACAGCAGCAGCAAAGATGTCCATGATTAAGTTTTAATACACAGCTTGAAAGTAACTTTTAATGGCCAATGGATATATTAGAACTTTTATCTGAACAATGATCTAGGAGCTCAGGCCTGAGAAATGTTGATGAATGGCTTTCAATCAGTCAGTATCTCAAAAATATGATCAGTCTACAAATCCTATTGTGTTGTCTTTCGTATCTCCTAGAACCTTTGGTGCATCTCAACACATTTATCTCTATGACACTCACTTATCAACATCCTCAAATACAAAGGCCATAAGCATCAATTTGTAGCAAAATATAGCCAAGAATCCATCTACAAATGGAGTTTATCAAATTAAAACAAAGAATCAAAGTCAGCTAAAGTTATGTATCTTTAGGTCCTAGTCATACAAACTCATGTACTTTCCATACAGTTAAAATAGAAAAAATGTGCTTCAGTGGCATGGGGAAGAAGAAATATGGCTTGGAAAAGAAATATCGCCTCAAAAAAAAAAAAAAAAAAGCCTAGCGAAGTCTCCTAGAAAAAGCAAAAACAAAATAAGTAAGCAGGCAGCAACTATAATTTCTTCTTTTTCTCTGATTCCACTTCTTTTTCTTTATTTTAAAAATTTGGAAATAACAAAAACATAAGAAAAAAATTAAAATCTATAATAAACTTACTATCTAGAGATAACAGTCACATTACGCTGTCCTTCCATTCTTTTTCCCCCTATTTCTAATTATGTTTATAAACAAAATAAATTAATATTCTCACCATCCAGATACTTGACGCCTATATTGACACTATAATTCAACTGTATCATTAATATGAAGTTACTATGAATAACAATGACCCTAAGATGTGAACAGGACATACTCAAAGGTGCCTGCATGCTGACAACAGACATGAAATGACTGAAGCTGGCAGAACATCAAACAAACTAATGCTGAGCTTGCCTTAGGAATTGAATCAATCTTGGATGTTATCAATTACAACTTAGATAAACGAAATTTTCAAGAAAATTGCCAAATCTCTCATAATGACATTTATATTTATTTCTTAGGTGAGAGTATCTTACAAATACCTATGAAAAGCAAAAATAAAGTCAGAGGGTGAAGAGGCTGGAAAATAGTATAGTACTCTTTATCCTTATGATTATAATTTGAGTGATGATTCCTCGTTACCAAAATATTGACTACTGTTTTCTAACAAGAGAAAAGAACTCGGGGCTAATCATTTATTTACTGGAAAAACCTTCTGGGAAGTACTTGTCAACTGGAGCCATATCCAAAGATAATAGAAGAGTTAGTGTTGTCATGTGCTATAAGTCTTGTTTTTAAAAAAATTTATGATTTCCTGATTTTTTTTCCTCCTTAAAGAATCAACTTAGAGAAGCAAAGAAACTTCATGAGGCAAGTACTTTGTGTACATGTATGGGAGAGCAGTTGCTAACCATTCTGTTGTAGTAGACTTGAATGATTTTAACTTTATTTTGTTAAGGGAAGTTTCTTGTCCTTATTGATCCATTCCAAGTTTCAGTTGATTTTAGCTTCCCTTTTTCAGCTATGGAATTGTATCTCATTAGTAAAATAGCCTAAAATTGTTTAACCATGTTTCTTCATTTAAGTTAATGAAGTTTGGGACTCATAGAGCTTAAACAAAAGTGTTTAAAGGAATCTGACTTATTAATATTTTCTCTGGAGAAGAAAAAATGAAAATAATTCCAATAGACTTCAATTACATTAAGTTTTAATACAGGATTATAAAGTTATTATGAGACTTTGCCAGCTATGCTTTGTCACATTTCTTTGTCCTACCCAGTATTTAACATACATACTACAGATGTTTAACAGGCACAAATATCAAGGGCAAGAGGTATTTACCCGTAAAAGAAAATGATTTATATTTCACTTAGACTGTAAGTTTTCAAAAGACAGATGTTACATCACAATCTAACTGCACACAATGCTTCGAAGCCTCTATCCTACAAGCAAAATTGTCTGCTTCCTTAGGAAGATGGAGACAGCTGTTAGTATTGCAAATGGAAGCTCCTAATGGAAGGAGAGATTTTATTTTTAGTAAGGAATCAAAATCATGATGCATTAGAATTAATGTATGATTACAGTTCATGATACTGAGTGGGAAACACTAATTAGAAATAAACTATATTATGTGGGAGGTGAAAAATAAAGATGAACTTTTAGGGGAAAAAAGGAAGTAAGCTGCTAAATTCTGGAGAGGTTCCAGGTAGTGCTAACTTTTGCTTTTCCAGCTTGAAGTAATGAATCATATTGTGATATATCCACAATGTATTGTCTGGCAATGGATTGGAACTTAGAAAAAAATCCCCAGAAATCAGACATACTGGACTGAGAAAGCCTAGATTCTCATTTTCCTGGTACCCTAACTAAGGAAAAGATCCTATCCCTACCCTCACCTCAGAAGTTTGTGTCTTCCCAAAGAAGGAGGAAGTTTAACAGAAGTCAAGAACAATCACATTAAAAACAGGCTAAACAAATATGGGTAGTAACTGATTCTTCTTGGAAGCAGTGGTTGTAGATTATTATCACTGGTTTTAAAATCTAAGTACATATCAACATCTGGGTAGCTTTTCAAAAAATTCAGATGTGTAGGCTCACCCTAGATCCACCCCCAAAATATTTGGGAATGGAGCTTAGGAACTGGTTATTCTAACACATTTCCAAGATATTTCTTAAGTATCTAGTACAGCCCTACTCCACAGGAGCCTCTTGGTCCCAAATAGATTCCTTTAGCTCAATGTTATAGATATACATCAATTAATATTAGAAAAACAGTCATTTTAAACAAAATAAGTCATCAATTTTTATATTTTCCAACAAACTATATTTGGAATGTACAATAAATATATTTACATGAATGAATGTTTAAGGTAACATCTTTGATTTTATCATATCATCATCGACTGACTTTAACACATATCAAATCCATTTAAAAAATGTTTATTGAGCACATACTATATGATGGGTAGGCCACTATAGGCACATGGTTTTTAAAAGGCTGGGTATAAATATAATTTTTCCAAGATGTCTTTTATATTTTATTGGCTTACATAATAATTCTATATTATGTTAATCAGTTGAATTTTAACTGACATTTTAGCACTATAACATGACTTGTAGATTTTCGGACTCTCTACAGCCTTCATAAAACAATCATCATAAACTTTATCAAATCCACCATATTTGGAGAATAATAAATAAAAAACCCAAGAAAGCTTTCTACTGAAAAACAGCCAAACAAAAAACACTTTCTGTTGAATCCTTTAAAAATACTAAACTTACTAATATTTAAGAGTATTTCCTCCCTTTACTTCCATTTATTTAGCAAATTAATTATGTTCAGATTTGGTTTTCCCAGAGTAAACTTAGTACTCTTGCATTGTGTATGCTCTGAGAAAGACCTATGCTTCATCAAGTAAAGGAACAGCTCTTGGTTTCAAAATTAGTAAGAGGCAAATGATAATTTTAACAGCTTGCAACTCCATGGGCAATCAGTGCTAAAGTTGTTAATGATTAAGAAATAAAAGAAACTCTAATGCTTTAATAGCTGACTGTATGCATAAAACCTGTCACTAAAACAGAAAGCTTAGAAAATAATTAGGAATCTTCCCCCATGGGGTTAGTCATAGCTGCTATTTAGGACTTGGACGGTTGTAACTCTACTGTAAAAGTAATGTTCTGTCAATCCCACACACACGGACACTAAAACAGTCCAATGGAAGGCAAAGAGTGGTATATATTTACCATTACATTTAACTAACAGCACCAGGTGGAATGATTTTCAACAGATTAATTGAAACATTTGGAAAATCCTTTCAAGGTGGCTGAAAAAAATGTACATGCAAAACACAAAATATAAACTGTATAGGCAAAACGTCATCATTATGTTTTAACTCCAGAAAGTATATAATCATTTTATTTGCATGAATAAATTGAAATACTGAGCTCAGAACAAGGGCAGGAGGCTAGAATTTTCTACTGGAATTTTGTAATCTTCTTTGGAAAAAACTGTCCCACAAAGTCTTTAGATGACTTGATGTCTGAAATGAACCAAGTGGTATACACACTAATGGATCAGAAGAAAATAGTAAATATGAAGAGTTCCATTCTTTTAGAATAGTAACTAACTTTGAAGTCACACTGAATATATTGATAATACATCTAAATTATTTTTACCATCAACCCTATTGGTTAATGATAGGTATTCCATCTCTTCAATTCTTGTTAGTGGTTCTGTGAGTATTTGTCTCTTCATTAGCTTTACATCTATAACTGGGCATGAAGAAGTGGAAAAAATTAAATTGAAATGGGGTATATGTTAACTGTAGCAGGTTAAAGAGGAGGTCGAAGCTGCTGGTGAAAATTGGAGTTGTAGGTCATTCATTCATTTAACAAATATTTAGAGAGCACTGACAATGTGCTTAGAGCTCTCCCAGGTGCTGAGGAAGTAGTGTTGAAAGAGGCAGACATGATTCTCTCATCTCATGAATTTCTGCATTGAGTTCTCTAAGCATAGGTGGTTTATGGTTAGCTAAACAGAACTGATATATTCTTGCTACAAGTATGCATGACACTTCTTTTATCTATGGTTGGCCCCTTCTCTTATCCTTTCCCACCTTCTTTATTTAGAGAATGACAATCTGGCTCCATCAGATGCCAAAAGATAACTAACAACAACAAAAACAACAACAGCAA